GAAATATTTTTTTCAAAACGGCTTATTTCAAGTTTTTTTTATATACATATAAATATTTATGATAAGTTCATGTGCTGGGATTGACAAATATACAAATATAATAAATTATTTGGATTTTAAAGACTCCACACCCCAAGTGTCTGTGCCACAAACCATCGCCAACGAATATGCAAAAATTGTCCCTTAGTGAATAAATCTACCCCGATATATTGAAACAATTGGGTCCTATCCATGCGACAACATAAGTGTGTATATATGCCACTGTGACATGCAGATGAAGTAAGTGCATTGTCCTATGGCTCATTTCTATAGGCAATATCAGTCTACAATTAAAGGTATTCACTTGTATTCTAATACATGTCTTGTACGACATTGTAACTAATGCTCTTAACATAGAAACTCGTGCTCTTGACAAAGTAACTCGTGCGCACGACTTTGATTATCTCGTGCACCCGTGCGCTCGACTTAATTCTCTCGCTAGAAGGACATAATAACCCGAGCACGACTTAATGACACGCGCGCGCATCACTCCTGCGCACAACATGGTAAGTCGTGCGCTCGTCGACGTAGTAACTCCTGCGCACGACATATGGTAACTCGTGCTCACGACTTAATCATCCAATGCATACAACTTAGTAACTCATGCTTTAATGCAGAAAGGCAATATCCTGGAGTTTGTATTTGGATTAAATTGGCACTCTCAGATTGCTTCCGTTTTCAGAAAAAAAAATAAACACTTTAATTGTCCCTTTTAAACGCATACTAGTATTATAAAACATTAAGGTTACCTTCTTTAGGTTTGTTCAGAAGACTAAATTGACTTATTTTTACAGACCAATGTTAATACAAATGTCTCATAGCGCAATGTTTTTATTAAAACTAATAAACAACACAGCACTGTTGTACCACATAGTAACGGGACCGCTTTCGTAACAGGTGTTACAAATCATACAAATGTGTAATGGAAATGAAGCATATTTTTATTATATATTTCTTTTTGCAACGGATTTGTTCGATGCCAATTTTTGATGTGCCATAGAGTTACATTCGTAACAGGCCACTTTTAATGCAAAATGGAGCAAACAGTATACTTTCATTACTAAATCACATTTGTAATACTTAGTCTGTACTGTACAGAATCGTCCTGGTGCCAATTTAACATGTTCTATAAAAAAAGATAACTCCTACTTAAGACTTTATAACTCCTACGTAGGATAAAAAAAACCTAATTAGGAGTTTTAAAGTCCTACGTAGGAGTTTAAAAGTCCTACGTAGGAGTTTATAACTCTTTATAAGTGTTCCTCTACGTAAGAGTTATAAAGTCCTACGTAGCAGTTATAAACTCCTAATTAGGCTTTTTTATCTTCTACGTAGGAGTTATAAAGTCCTACGTAGGAGTTATAAACTCCTACGTAGGAGTTATAAAAACCTACGTAGGACTTTATAAGTCCTATGTAGGGGTTACAAACTCCTAATTAGGCTTTTTAATCTACTACGTAGGAGTTATAAAGTCCTACATCGGACTTACACTCCTAATAAGGCTAATAATAAAAACCTACGTAGGACTTTATAAGTCCTATGTAGGGGTTACAAACTCCTAATTAGGCTTTTTAATCTACTACGTAGGAGTTATAAAGTCCTACATAGGACTTATAAACTCCTACGTAGGAGTTATAAAAACCTACGTAGGACTTTATAAGTCCTACGTAGCACTTTATAAGTCGTACGTAGGAGTAAAAAAAACTCCTAATTAGGCTTTTTTATCTCCTACGTAGGAGTTTATTTTTAATAGAATTTTATGAATTGGCACCAGGACGCTTCCGTACTACGGAAGCGTCCTGGTGCCAATTTAACATGTTCTATAATAAAAGATAACTCCTACGTAGGAGATAAAAAAGCCTAATTAAGAGTTTATAACTCCTACGTAGGACTTTATAAGTCCTACGTAGGATTTTTTAAGTCCTACCTAGGACTTTTAAACTCCTACGTAGGACTTTGTAACTCCTACGTAGGACTTTATAAGCCCTGGGTAGAAGATAAAAAAGCCTTATTAGGAGTTTAAAACTCCTACGTAGGACTTTTTAACTCCAATGTTAGACTTAGTAACTCCTACGTAGGACTTTATAACTCCTAAGTAGGACTTTATAACTCCTACGTAGGACTTTGTAACTCCTACGTAGGACTTTTTAACTCCTACGTAAGACTTAGTAACTCCTATGTAGGACTTTATAACTCCTAAGTAGGACTTTATAACTCCTACGTAGGACTTTTTAACTCCTACGTAGGAGATATAAAGCCTAATTAGGAGTTTATACCTACGTAGAAAAACACTTACAAAGTCCTACGTTGGAGGAATAAACTCCTAATTAGGCTTTTTTATCTCCTACGTAGGAGTTATAAAGTCCTACGTAGGAGTTACAAAGTCCTACGTAGGAGTTATAAAGTCCAACTTAGGAGTTAAAAAGTCCTACGTAGGAGTTACTAAGTCTAACGTAGGAGTTAAAAAGTCCTATGTAGGGGTTTTAAACTCCTAATTAGGCTTTTTTATCTCCTACGTAGGGCTTATAAAGTCCTACATTGGAGTTACAAAGTAGGACTTTGCAACTCCTACGTAGGACTTTTTAACTCCTACTTAGGAGATAAAAAAGCCTAATTTGGAGTTTATTACTCCTACGTAGGAGTTTGTAAGTCCTACGTAGGACTTTATTAGTCCTACTTAGGACTTTATAACTCCTACGTAGAAGATATAAAAATCTAATTAGGAGTTTTAAAGTCCTACGTAGGACTTACAAACTCCTACGTAGGACTTTATAACTCTTACGTAGGACTTTATAACTCCTACGTAGGTGTTAAAAAGCCTTATTAGGAGTTTATTACTCCAACGTAGGACTTCATAAGTCCTACCTAGGACTTTATGACTCCTATGTAGGACTTTATTACTCCTACATAGGAAATAAAAAAAACCTAATTAGTAGTTTTAAAGTCCTACGTAGGAGATTAAAAATCCTACGTAGGAATTATAAACTCCTACGTAGGGCTTTATAAGTGTTCCTCAACGTAGGTGTTATAAAGTCCTACGTAGATGTTATAAATTCCTAATTAAGCTTTTTAACTCCTACGTAGGAGTTATCAAGTCCTACGTAGGACTTATAAAGTCCTACGTAGGAGTTATAAAGTCCTACGTAGGACTTATAAAGTCCTACGTAGGAGTTATAAACTCCTAATAAGGCTTTTTTAACTCCTACGTAGGAGTTATAAAGTCCTACGTAGGAGTTTGTAAGTCCTACGTAGGACTTTAAAACTCCTAATTAGGTTTTTATATCTCCTACGTAGGAGTTATAAACTCCTACGTAGGACTAATAAAGTCCTACGTAGGACTTACAAACTCCTACGTAACTCCTTTGTAACTCCTACGTAGGACTTTATAAGCCCTGGGTAGAAGATAAAAAAGCCTTATTAGGAGTTTAAAACTCCTACGTAGGACTTTTTAACTCCTACGTTAGACTTAGTAACTCCTACGTAGGACTTTATAACTCCTTAGTAGGACTTTATAACTCCTACGTAGGACTTTGTAACTCCTACGTAGGACTTTTTAACTCCTACGTAAGACTTAGTAACTCCTACGTAGGACTTTATAACTCCTAAGTAGGACTTTATAACTCCTACGTAGGACTTTGTAACTCCTACGTTGGAGATATAAAGCCTAATTAGGAGTTTATACCTACGTAGAAGAACACTTACAAAGTCCTACGTAGGAGAAATAAACTCCTAATTAGGTTTTTTTATCTCCTACGTAGGAGTTATAAAGTCCTACGTAGGAGTTACAAAGTCCTACGTAGGAGTTATAAAGTCCTACTTAGGAGTTAAAAAGTCCTACGTAGGAGTTACTAAGTCTAACGTAGGAGTTAAAAAGTCCTATGTAGGGGTTTTAAACTCCTAATTAGGCTTTTTTATCTCCTACGTAGGGCTTATAAAGTCCTACATTGGAGTTACAAACTAGGACTTTGCAACTCCTTCGTAGGACTTTTTAACTCCTACTTAGGAGATAAAAAAGCCTAATTTGGAGTTTATAACTCCTACGTAGGAGTTTGTAAGTCCAACGTAGGACTTTATTAGTCCTACTTAGGACTTTATAACTCCTACGTAGAAGATATAAAAATCTAATTAGGAGTTTTAAAGTCCTACGTAGGACTTACAAACACCTACGTAGGACTTTATAACTCTTACGTAGGACTTTATAACTCCTACGTAGGTGTTAAAAAGCCTAATTAGGAGTTTATTACTCCAACGTAGGACTTTATAAGTCCTACCTAGGACTTTATGACTCCTATGTAGGACTTTATTACTCCTACATAGGAAATAAAAAAAACCTAATTAGTAGTTTTAAAGTCCTACGTAGGAGATTAAAAATCCTACGTAGGAATTATAAACTCCTACGTAGGGCTTTATAAGTGTTCCTCAACGTAGGTGTTATAAAGTAATACGTAGAAGTTATAAATTCCTAATTAAGCTTTTTAACTCCTACGTAGGAGTTATAAAGTCCTACGTAGGACTTATAAAGTCCTACGTAGGAGTTATAAACTCCTATTAAGGCTTTTTAACTCCTACGTAGGAGTTATAAAGTCCTACGTAGGAGTTTGTAAGTCCTACGTAGGACTTTAAAACTCCTAATTAGGTTTTTATATCTCCTACGTAGGAGTTATAAAGTCCTACGTAGGACTAATAAAGTCCTACGTAGGACTTACAAACTCCTACGTAGGAGTTATAAACTCCTAATTAGGCTTTTTTATCTCCTACGTAGGAGTTATAAAGTCACTACGTAGTTATAAAGTCCTATGTAGGAGTTATTTTTTTATAGAACATGTTAAATTGGCACCAGGACGCTTCCGTAACTAATAAATTGATGAGTACTGTTGTTGATTTTTTCATTTTTTTATTATTATTGTGTTAGATTATTACTTTTAATTCTTCTTTGCTATTAACTTTTACATTTTCGCCAGAAAACAGTTTACCAGGGATCAGAACGTCCATCAAGTGAATCCTCGTCGGAAGAAAGAAAACAACTTTTAAAACCTAAAGAAGAAAGTAAACAACCTTTGACACATACTGCAGAAAGTGTAAAGCTATTATCAAAACATACGGTAGAAAAGGGGCAAGTCTTAAAACCTACCAAAGAGATAGGAAAAAGTGAAGGAAGTGGAAATTTTTCAGCTTTTACAAAAGGAAGCTTGCCTTTGCGCAAAGGAGAAGGACTATTTCCAAAAGTTACAGGATGGCTACGTAAACAGATTACAGAAGAAAGAAGAGAGATTTCCAAACCTGCAATAAGCGATTTAGATAGTGAAACATCTTTTGAAGACATTCGTGGGGATAAATATGAAAAAAAAGATAATCAAGATGAAGATTCGAAAACAAGTGAAAAAAGTGTAGCGGACATTCTAGGGGATAAACATGAAGAAAAAGATAATCAAAATGAAGATACGCCATCAAGTAAAACGTGTATAGTGGATATTCATGGGCACAAATATGAAGAAAAAGATAATCAGAATAAAGATACGCCATCAAGTAAAACGTGTATAGTGGATATTCATGGGGATAAATATGAAGAAAAAGATAATCAAAACGAAGATACGCCAACGAGTGAAACGTGTGTAGTGGACATTCGTGGGGATACGTATGAAGAAAAAGATAATCAAAATGAAGATTCGCCAACAAGTGAAAAAAGTGTAGTGGTTATTCCTGGGGATAAACATGTAGAAGATGAGCTAGCTGATGATTTACCAACAAGTGAAGGAAGTTTAATGGACATTCCTGGGGATAAATATGAAGAAGAAGATAATCAATCTGAAGATTCGCCAACAAGTGAAAAAAGTGTAGTGGATATTCCTGGGGATAAACATGTAAATGATTATCAGTATGAAGATCCGCCAACACGTGAAAAAAGTGTAGTGGACAGTCCTGGTGATAAACATGTAGAAGATAATCATAGTGAAGATTCGCCAACAAGTGACAAAAGTGAAGTTGACATTCCTGGGGATAAATATGAAAAAGAAGATAATCAAGAAGAAGATTCGCTAACAAGTGAAAAAAGTGTAGTAGACATCCCTGGGGATAATCATGTAAAAGATAATCAAGGTGAAGATTCGCAAACAAGTGAAAACAATGAAGTGGACATTCATGTGGATAAACATGTAGAAAATAATCAGGATGAAGATTTGGCAACAAGTGCTTTGAAACTTGATGAAGACGAAGACGACGAGAATTTTTTTTCTTGTAGCGATGATGATGATGATAATAATAAAAATGATGATAATGATGATAATAATAAGGTGTATTTTTAGATTAATTTTTCATAATGATCACAGGAACTTGACATTTAATCAATAGATCACAAAATATACGTATATTAGTGATATAGCCCTTATCTTTTGTATATTTATATTTTGTGATGTCAAGTTCCTGTGTTAGGATCCATAAAATAAGTACGTTTTCATATGTTCAGATATTTGTATAGGAATGTTATTAAATAGATTATTAGATAATTACCAAACGAGTTTGTCATTTTGCCATGGATTCATAATTTTCAAACAAAATGCTATCATTTCTGTTTCTCGGAAGCCTTGTATTGAGTTCTGACACATTGCCTTGTGTACCTCTACAACGCTGATCTTAATTACGCAAATTGGATCAATATTTGGTTTTCCTGAAGGTCATTTAGCTTATTATTAAATTTTTATAATACTGCGCGTTTGTAACGTCGCTCGTGACGATCTTAAAGTGAAAGTTTGCGGTAATGTGAATTCGTCTTAAGTCTTATTGTGTGAAACTACAATGGTCAGAGCGAAAAGAGGTTTAATGAATGTATAAAAACGGTGCTGTATGAAAATGCATAAAAATTCGCGGGGCGAAGTTTTATTTAATTAACTAATTAACGTTTGTTTTCACTCCGCGCCCAGCTGATCTCGCTTCCCGCCACTGCGGGGTGACGTTTTGTTTATTTAACTACACCCGAGCCCGAGCTTATAAACGTGTTTTCGCCCCGCCCCCTGCAATTTTACTTGTTAATTCTCGACTTTACGCTTGGCGGGATGGCGGGGCGAAAACACGCTAATTAGATAAGTTTTATCTATTAAACTTCGCCCCGTACCCTCGCTAATTAGCGAGTTTTTGCTTCGCTCCGCGCCCGCCGTTTTATTTCTTAAATCGCGCTCCTGCGGGGCGACGTTTTATTTATTAAACTTTGCCCCACGCCCACGCTTAAATGCATGTTTTTGCTCTGCACCCCCGCCATTTCAACTTGTAAACTTTCGACGTTTCGCTTGGAGGGATCGCGGGGCGAAACCACGAATGGCACAAATCATCCACCATATTGTACAGTTTGTACAAGCGCCTTATCTGGTTAAAATCTGTTTAGTAATAGCAAAGATATTGAAATAGAAAACCTGTCTCCAGATGAACAAAAATATTTCAAGAAAATAAAACATTACAAAAATGTACAAAGATTCTAAGTAAAAAGATTCAAGATAAAAGTAATAACTGACATGCTATGTGCGATTAATGACTAGTTATAGCATTTATCACCATATTTCTACTGCGTACCTAACGCAGAAAGGGATATTTTTTGCATGTTTTGACCTCTTTTTTGTAATTTACGTAAATGACCTTGTCCACTTACATGTCGATCTTTAACTTTAAAATACATTTCAAATTTCCATGAAAATTAGAGTGTGCATGGAGGTATGCTGCTTTTATAAGTTATATAAACATTTTTTGCCGAAAATCAAGCAAATATATCATTCCATATTCTTTAATAGATTTGTTTTGGAGATTTCGTGATTTTTATAAAGAAAAAAAGGGTGTCGAATTAATGGGTATGTCGAATTAAGGTGTTATTTACGGAAGCGTATCAGGGCCTACAGTTGGTGAGATGTTTTGTCGACTTATTTTTATTCGCATTGATAAGATGTTTTTTGCATTTCTCAATAAAATTTACTGACAAAGATGAGAAGCTTTTAGGCATTGCAACTGAATTTTTCTCGATATTCTTGAAGCTTTTGTCACTTCGACAAAAATCCTGTCGAAACTTCTTGATTTCACGACTTTGCTGAAATATTTAGTAAGACGCAAAGACGTTACTCGCATTGACAAATATACGGAAGCTTGTATGTACCCCCGCTATGAAGACATGAAGTCGTCTCCCTCGTCTTATAGAACACAACAAGTCGTCAAAATTACGACGACAAGTTTATATATACCATGTCATTTTGACAAAAAATATGTCATCATGTCGAGATACGGCATCCCGACTTTCTTACATAAATAAATTTGTCGACTTAAAGTAACATGTATGTCGACATCCATGTTATTTCTAGTCGACAAATATATTAACGTATGAAAGTCGGGATACTGTATCTCGACATGATGACATATTTTTTGTCAAAATGACATGGTATATATAAACTTGTCGTCGTAATTTTGACGACTTGTTGTGTTCTATAAGTCGAGGGAGACGACTTCATGTCTTCATAGCGGGGGTACATACAAGCTTCCGTACAAATAGCTCACGTAATTCAACAAAGTTTTTTTGCAATGATTAAAAACTTCTACGTATTACGTATTAATCATTACGTCTTCATGGAATGTTTTATGTATTACGTATTAATCATATTGTCTTCATGAAATGTTTTTGGTCAAATCGAGAAGAAACAAGTTGAAATGACGTGAAACTTTTAGATAAGTGGAGGCCCTGATAAACTTCCGTAAATATGCATTAAAGGTACATGCCTCGCTGTATATATATATAAGTAAAGTGTTTATTCTTCTTCCCATATTTGCGAATAAGTTGTTGAGTCTTCGAGATGGTGATGTTATAGACTTTAAAAACGTTCTTTGCGAGTGAAATAATTAACGTTAACAATTCGAATAATGAAGGCAACCGATGTAATGTTAACTAAATTTAGATGTAATATGCCACCAACATTAAACTCTCGTCATCATTACTCTCTCTGTATTTGCCACCTAGCTTGTGTTAACATGATATACATTTTGCCTTTAGCAAAACTTATTAAAAGATACAATGATGAACAATTTAGCTATGGTGGTAAGAACATGTACGTATGTAAGAAGAGCATGTGATATGTTCAAATGCTTAATACACAGTTGAATTGAAGCCCGTCAGTTCAAAGCATTGTGATCGCTGCGGCGTCGTTGTCGCAATCGTCGTACATTAATTTGACCTTTACTCAATTTTAAAGATATCAATATAAAGAATATTTACTTGTCCTGGCAAGAGGCAGTTGTAAGACATGGGTCTGAATTCTGAAATCTATATTTTTGAGAGTGTTGTCCTTTTTAAACTTAAATTTTTTGTCAAACTTTCCTACTTAATACTTATTAAGCTGCTCGATAGGTAAAAGAAAACCATGAAACCCGACCATGCATGTATAAAGTTGTGACGGGCGAGGAAACATGTGTTTATTTTTATAAGTCAGAGTAAAAGGGAAAACAGCAATGAGTGGATCGGTGAAATTGATGAATGAACGAAATTGCTCGTAAAATTACAACAAAACAAATCATGCATACACTGATTTTATTACAATGCCAAAGGTCCTATACCAGAAGTCAGGAGTTACACTGGAGTCTTTTATCTAGATTTGCTTCTTTCGGTCAATGTTGAGCATGTGTACGGAATCAAGCTGTTACATAACAAAGCACCTGCCCATTAATTAGCTGTGGTTCATTCTTACCTTAAAGCAACTTTAAATTCTTTTAAGTAAACTTTAAATTTAAGCTTCATTTCATATCAAATATGCTTGAAATTCTGGAAACAAAGTGATCCCTCGGAATCATTTATCACAACAAAATTACAAGAGAATTGCAGACTCGGTTTAATTGAGTCTGTACATGAGGGATAATGAATACGTGCAACATCCATTACTCCCCTAGCACCGGCTTGAGCGGTACTCAATTCTCACCACTTAATAGTGCTGGCATCAATGATCCCGAAGGACCAGAAAATATAAGAACACTGAAATTTCCTTCGAAAGGAAAGTGATTATAATACATGAAAAAGAAGGCCCTTATATGATTATGATGGCCCTAATATACCTTCATGACAAGGAACAAGTAGTATAATTGTAAACTATAATCTTAATGTTAAACTGATATCACGAAGTCATATTTGTATCTGAAATACAGCACGCGTAAAAACATTACTGGTTGGGACAACAACAGTTACATAAGAAGTCATTAGTTGCTATACAAAATATATTGTTTCCTTGGAAGTCAGTGCCTGCTAAAGATTCACTTGTTGCTGTGGAAAGTTAATGTTAACTATGGAAGTCAATGGTTCCTATAAAGTCTATGGCTGCTATGCAGTCACTGGTTGCTGATTATGGACATAGAAGAATACCTTGAATGCAGATTTAATATCTAAATTTATTACTAAATTATTAGTAATAAAAAGAAATTTATCTTACTGTTTCATGACTGGGAAATATAAATATATCTCGGTACTGTGGGAAAAGCTATGAATTCTCAGGAAATTCTGGAATGGGAAATATTGTTAAATGTAAATAAATAATATTTTATAAATCAAACTTTTGTGACTACTGGCTAAAATAAACAGGTATACCTGTTAGTGGTTATAGTGTAGACAGAGTAGAGATTGAAATAGCTTTCATACCCTGAAATAGGCCTATAATCATGTTGTTTCAGTACTAAATATAATTTCTTTCGTTTGAGGAACGAATTAGAAGGAAATTATTTTCCCTAAAGGTAACGTAGTCATCGTCAGGATATTTAGTAAAGCGTGACATGAGTGCACGGTATTTTCGTGCAGTATTTCGGTTCAGCTATAGGTAACCGACCGGTTTACATCGTTAAATTTTTATGCTCCCCAAAGGGTGGGTATATGGTCGCCGCTTTGCCCGTCCTGTCCGTCCGTCAGTCCGCTTTTCTTGTCCGTAGCATAACTTTGAAACAACAAGAGGTATCAACATGAATCTTTGTAGGTAGATAGATCTCAATGAGTAGGTGGACAATGCACAAGAACCATAACTCTGCCTTGCCTAATTTTTGAATTATTGCCCTTTGTTTATTTTTACACTTTGAACTTTGTCCGGGACATAACTCTTAAAACTATAAAAGGTATCAACATGAAACTTTATTATCAACATGAAACTTTGTAGGTAGATAGATCTCATTGAGTAGGTATGCAGTGCAAGAGAACCGGTACTCTGCCATACGCTTTCACTAACTCAGCAAATAAAAGTAACAAACGGCGATTCTTTCGTCGCGCAAAAGTCAATATCACGATGTCAGCCTTGATCTCTCTGTCTCTGTGGATGTGCAAAAGTCCTTAGCCAGAGAGTATTTAGTAACGAAGGTTCCGCGGCTTCGGTAGAAATAAGCATTGCTAAAGCAAGTGCAAACAACTGTTCACATTTGGATAAAAACTCTGTCGGTATATCCTGTAGCATATATTTTATAGTGGATGGAACAAACAGTGAAGATTTGCATTGTGTGTCTCCAAGCTTCAAACACTCGCGTATAAAATTTCCTGATCGTCCTATAAATCATCTTGCACAACCATATAAATGTCAGCAATCGACGGTCCAAGTTGATGCCCGCGTTTTAAAGCAATCGAACGTTTGATAGTGCTTCTGCTTCTTATAAATGTTTCGATGAAAACAGAAAACAGTCGAACGTGGATGTCATTTACTTATTAGGCATAAAAAGGGAAACTTATTTGTTTTGAGCGAATATTCAATTTATTACACTGAGAAGTGTACTTTGCATTCGCTAAAATATTGCAATTTTTTCTCATTTCTCAGTGTGGTATATAACATATTCAATGAATAACAATAAGCATAAGTACATTATATAAACACTTTAGTTACACTGCATGTGTATATGCAATTAATTCTCGTTATTTTAATTATGTTTAATTGATAAGAGAGATGTATATACAAAAGACCGGTAAAATACAAATTGAGTATATTTTTTGGCGACCAGTTGCCCATATGAGGGAGTTCTCAGAAGAGTATAAGTCATTTTATATTTTGGAGGATTTACAAGATACAGATAGATACCCCAATTCCATAAGTTTCTCCAGGTTCTTTAGCGGGCTAAATGTTTAAGTATTCATACACGGGACCTCGACATAGAGTTTCATCCAAAAAGAATGATAAGTATTTTCAGTTGGCTAGCACGGGAATCGAACCCACAATGTCGAAATTACAAGTCTCGCTCTCTAACCGATTGAGCTATGCGGGCTGACATAAAATTTTGTAAAACGAGTAAAGAAAATATTATAATGCGAACCTTTTACGAGTTTTAGAATTTTAGAGTTACTATGCTTATATCTGATATTAGAAATTATTGATAATTGCTACACATTATCTTTGACTTCACAAAAAGTAGATAAGTCATGTTTAAAATTCTAGACACTATTATTTTTTAAGAAAAGACAAACTTAACCTGTCATTTTTTTTGGGAACATGACTTTCAATACATTGTTTATTCATTCTTTTATTCAAATTAGACATAGATTTTAAAGGAAAGTCAGAATCGAAATATTTTACACGTGAGTATGCATTTAGAATATCGTAACTACGTAAAGTGTGGTTTACATTTCAAATATTCATATAACATGCGAAACTAGGATCACGTGGCCATTTTATGGTTTATTTCGATGTACACCGCGCCTCAGTTTAACAAAGATGCTAAAACGAAACTAGGATTACAAATTGAAAAGTGCGGCAATTGTTAAACTAATGAATAGATATTCTTTAAACACTGGCTCATGTTCATGCCAGCGTAATATTAGTGTAGTAGAGGATTATCTTCGCTGTGCCCCGTGCCCTCCTCCGATGATGTCCTACGAGGAATTCAGGAATCACACGCTTAACATGTTACCAAAGATAGATATGTGTATTATAAGCAAAAGGTGTATACGAGGCAACAGTACTGCATATGCTATCGACTGTCCAGCATCCCTATTTGACAACTGTCCTGAGACAACTACGAAATCAAAAGATCCGATAGTTGATGCGTCTTTTAATGTCACTATTGTTGTGATAATTAGTATTACATTTGCAGTTATTGTAATAATTACTGTTGTATTCATTGTCCTGAGGTGAGTAAATACTCTTTTTTTAATTTCAGATATACTATTGACACATTTTTACTGTCGTTTTAATGACCCTAGTTATTTTAGTGATGTTTGCGTGCTTCCGAATAATCACTTTCGTTCACTTTCACTTCTTTTCCCTGCGCTAAGTAAGCATTTAAACCAGTAAAGCTTATAATTTTTAGATGTGTTGAATTTATGATTCAGCCTGATTTTATTGACCTGTCAATAATGAATACATTATAGCATTCATTTGAATATTCGGTCAAATTCGATTCTGTCCGTATAGTTTATAAATAAGCAGTATATGAATGATGTTTTGAAAAGTCACACTGGCTTAATGTTTATGTCGTGGTCACATCCGCACTAGCTCGGTCCGTTAAGTAACTGCCTAATATATGAGATGTCTGTGGTTCGAACCCTACTGTTGCCATTGTTATAAACCTATTCTTTCTCTATTTTTGCAGTATGGAAATTGTCAAGAGCTAGCAAAATTGTCAACAACTTAATAGACATTGAAATGACATTTATTCCTTTTAATACGAATGAATTTAAAATATTATTTCTTAAACCATGTTACTTTATAAAAAGAAAAGAAGTATAAACTTTACCAAAACAAGTGCAAGGCATATTTCGAAGAACGAACAACATGAAAAATAATAATAAAAAAACATAGACCTACGGGGTCTTGATCTTCCAACACGACATTAAACTACATGTAGGAAACTCTATTGCGCTATAACGTTATAACTATTTCATAGACACAAATTAAATTGTTTCACATCTTACTGGTACATGGCACGAAACTTACCTGAAATCTATCGACGATTAATAAATTGTGCGCCAGCATTCAGTTGACAGGTTAATCAAATCAAACAATATTTTTAAAGACTGTTGTACATGTATTAATTTATTATACATGTATATATGTATATTTACCGTACACGCATAAGCATGTAGTTTAGTGTACATTTACCCCTTGGCTATTAAATTTAATGTAAATAGTAGTCGGATGTGAAATATTTGATTTTTTGTGTGTTTCAGGAGAAAAGGAAAGGTAAATATTTTTGATTTACTTTTACCTGTATAAATTTTAAACAGGTAACATTTAAAAATAAACACAAGCACTCAATTGAATTGTATAAACGTTGGTGGGTAGTTAAACTTTTGTAAGATATTGGTTTAAATAACCAGCGTAAATTTCTGGTTAATTTAACCCACGTGTATAGGAGGGGGGTTAAATATGGTGGCATATTTCTGCCACCAGATAACCTGATACCTAACTAGTTAATTAAGAGGTTAACTAGTTACGTAACTGGTTAACCTGATAACTAACTAGTTAATTAAGAGGTTAACTAGTTACGTAACTAGTTAACCTGATACCTAACTAGTTAATTAAGAGGTTAACTAGTTACGTAACTAGTTATCCTGGTAACTAACTAGTTAATTAAGAGGTTAACTAGTTACGTAACTAGTTAACCTCTTAATTAACTAGTTAGTTATATGGTTATCTGGTGGCAGAAATATGCCACCATAGTTAAATCTTAATTCTAACCCACGGTTAGGTTAATTTAACCAACGTTTATACGATTGCGTGCAGACGATTTTGCTTATTGAGAAGTGAAGAAGATGTGATAAAATATATTGCGTACAATGTTATTATATAGGTTTTATTCTTGTCATTTGACGGAAATAGCATTTTGTATTAACGATGAATTTATAATAAATAACATAAAATAGAATGAATTTGAGGGAAAAGAGAATTATTTAAATTCATATTATTAAAAGAAACTGAAGAATTATCAAACAAATGAGTCTCGAAATAATTTTATAACAACTATATTATAAACTCATATAATGGTTAACAAACAATAATTTCCAATGCTTATTGTACTCCTGTTATATAAGTTTATGCTCAGTCTTATCAAATTTCAGTGTCGGTGTAAATGCAATGATGAATCAGTTTTATGTCTATCTGGAGAACTAGGATGTTTTGAAAAAAGCACGAAAGGGACATATTCTGAAGCATCTCAAGAAACAGAAGAGAACCAGTTATCAAACATGGGCGAACCTGATGAGGACGAGAATGAAGCTGAGAATAAAGGCGCAGAAAGAAATATCACAAAAACTGTTGAAACTATTGAAATTGAAGTTTTCCACGATGTATCTGAACCAAATATGAATGAACACTCGGAAACCAGAGATACTTTCAAAAATGATTCCGACAGCGACAGTGACTCTAAATTTGAAATGGCACTTGAAAGTGTGGTATAAGCTTATTGGATTTGCTCGAAGTTAACTTCAAGTTAATTTCAATGGAAGTCTGGTAACGAAATTTACTTTTACTTTATTGGAAATAATGGATTTTGTATCACACGTGCATTTCTCATTATTCAACTATGACCGGAACTCAGAGTAAAAAACGAACTGAAAACGTGTGCTCGTGATTTTATCATCGGCGTCGGTGTTACCCATTTTATCAACACATTTCACAAAAAGTGAATCTTGTTGTTTATGTACGTTCATGTGTTCATTGTGTGATTTCAAAATACATTGCTTAAACAATAATTATGATGCATGTTATAAGTTTTAATTCCTATATATTTTATATATTTAGACAAATGAATTTGTAATGGAACACATAAAAAGTACAGTTCTGTTATTAAAGGAACATTAAGCTTAAAAAATAAACAAATATTTCTGTCTGTACAAGGACAATCATCTGTTTGACAATGGTGTAATATTGGATTAAGAATATGAGAGATTCTTATAACCTAAAGAAAACAGCGACAAATATGAAATAATTTGTATGTAATACAAAGTGGATTTACGACTTCCATACAAAATGCTTTATCACTTTAAGTGTACATGTACTTTTTTACGAATCGCAAAAGAAGCATAATATGGCTCTGGTGTCTAGTCAATGAGTAACTTTTTGTAAACTGTAACAAAGAACCAAAAATATAGAGTTTTTGAAAAATAAAAATAATAACATTTAGAGGCTTAATGGATGTTTTACTTATTATTGATACAAGTTCAAAAATAAGCGGGGTCATTAACGGAATTATAAACAGTGTTTTAAACAAACGTTTTGTGGTGCTCCGATATTCTTGACTTTTTGTCCTTTTTTCACCATAAATTGCTATTAGTTCTAAAGTTTAATCAAAGTATATTGAAAAACTCAAGGCATTTACATGCAAAAGAGTTACTATCAGTTTTAAACAAAATACATTAACATACATCATTATAATAATATATTGAGACAACAAAAATATTATTTACGGTATATGATTTGAATCAAAATCTATAAATGAACTCAACAAAAAAGCTGAGATCAACATTATTTGAAGACTAAACCATTGAGAATAACAAGAATTACATTTATTTATTTTAAGGGATGTTGCCAACAAAAAATGGCGTTTACTTATATGATTGCAGAATTATTTAACAACATTTACTAATTTAACAAGAACAAAGTTGACATTAGCTGTTCAGATTGTAAAACATCAGGGTTTCTTGGGTATTGCGAAATATTGTTTTTCTCTCAGTATTGATACCAAAATTTGGTTGACGAGTTAATAAGTGACAATATGTTTGCATGTATTGCATATAAATATTTTGTCAGTTATAACCTGCTGATCAAATCCAAAGATGAGCCCCGATCCGGATTTCCGGCAACAATTTTAACATCAAAAATGCTGCACAAGAGTTAGCCGTTACGTTTATGCTGTGGAATAGATAAGTGTTTAAATAACACTCAGTCATTTTAAAGCTGCGCGAAGATTGTTTTCAGTGGATATCCCAACCAAAATAGAGAACGTTTACAAATTGCGTCATAACTGCTCGGTATGCACAGGAAGGTTGACTAAACTGGCGAGGAAATGTAAACGTGTGGAACGGTAAAAATGAAGGTGAATGGCCAAAATTTGGAGCTCGTACCACAATACGCAGTGCGTATGCACTATTTTATAACTGCCAGAAAGTCGTGGCTAAAGCTCCTGCAACAGAGAACAGGAGTGTCACTGGAAAATTTTGTCGAGATTCGGTTCTTAATTTTGGCAGTTTTTTTAGCATGTTATGGTACAGCCCGTTAGCGAACCGGCGAGTACGGAATCAAGCTTCTCCATGACAACTCACTTGCCCATAAATCAGCTGTGGTTTTCAGTGAAAATAATATTGAAATTTTACCACATCCAAATGCAGCCCTGATCTTGCTTCCTGTAATGGTTACCTTAACCAATGCATGTATTAACATGAGAGGTCGCCGCTACAAATCTTGTAACGCCGTGTCGACATCCCGTTTTTCCGGTGCGCACTATGCGTATATCAAGTAGATATGGCGGTTTGAAAGTGCATCCCAATAAATGGATGATTTTTAGAATGGCTGGACCAACCATCCTTCACACAGAAATATCTACAGCGCCACACTAATAGATACTTTTCAAATTCCCTCGTAGCTAACTTTTATCAACAGCAATTTAACAACAAAATGTTTTCAATTTCAATGAACCCGTTTTGCTGGACTGCTAGGTTTTCAGGCTAATAGGTTGCTAATTTTGAATTCTTTTATGTGAACTTGAAGTTTAAGTTTCAATTCATTTCAAGTAAACTTGAAGTTTCTTCTAAAAGGAGTGGTTGTAATGTATCGCTCATCTTAATATCAATACTCTCCATGACAAGGAACAAGTAATATTGTAAACTATAAACTAAAGCAGATATAAAATCTATATCATAAACTGATATCAAATGTAAAAGTTCATATTTGTGAAACATTACTGGTTCCTATTGCTAAGGGAAAAGAACAGTTACATAAGAAGTCACTGTTTGCTGTACAAAATAAATGGTTTCCTTGAAAGACAGTGTCTGCTGTGAAATTCAATGGTAGGTTCACTGGTTGCTATAGAAAAGTTAATGTTTGCTATGGAAGTCACTGGTTGCTATAAAGTCAATGGCTGTTCTGAAGCCACTGGTTGCTGGTGATTGACATATATTCTTCTGGCGGCATGCAACTTTAATATTTAAGTTTATTAGTAATAAAAAGAAATTTATGTAACTGTTTCATGACTCCGGGCATTAGATTGGAAAATAGTCATATATCTCGGTTCTGTTGGAAAAACTAGGAATTCCCAGGAAATTCTAGAATTTCCTGGGAAATATTGTTATTTTTTATAATATTTTTTATAAACAATCAAACTTTGTGATTTCTGGCCAAATATTCACCTGTGGGTATGTATACATGTAAGTGGTTACAGTGTATAATAGCTTTCACACCCTGAAGAAAGCCCTTTATCCTGTAGTACTAAATGGTATTATTTGTGCATACACTGCTTAATCCTAATTTTTACTGATTGATTCGTGATCACAGTTGGCTTATTTAAGTTTATTCATCATGAAGTACAGTTTAATTCAGCCAGTGACTTATAAATGTAGAAATTAATGAATATGAGACCCCGTTTTTAATTTTAATCACTGTTGTTGAAGAGGATTTTATTAAGATTGTGGCATGCGAAGGCACTTGTGCTGGAAGTAGGTCTTGTCTAGGAAAAATACATAAAAATGCTGCTCTTGCAAAACAGACTCAATGGACATTCAACAGTAGTGTATGGAAACTGAACTTAAAACGTTAACAACACTTTGCTAGAAAATGAAACTGGAATTTTTTTGATACTCCCAAATCCCCAATACAATGTAAGTTTCATATTTTATATTACATATTTGAATTTACAGTAATATTAAAAAGTTGAACGAACCGGTAATGTGGTGAATATTCTTTGTTATTTTACTGTCACTGTTTAGTTAATGTTCCAGTTACTGATATACTGTTATAGTTACTTCACTGCTACTGTTTTTGATATTTTTCCTGTAAACAACTGTTTAATGGTTACTTTACTGTAATTGTACTGCTACTGTTCCTGTTACTTTACTGTTATAGTCATTTCACTGTTACTGTTCTATTATACCTGTTACCACACTGTTACTGTTCTGTTATTGTTCCTGTAACTACACTGTTACTATTCTGTAATTGTTCCTGTAACTACACTGTTCTGTTATTGTTCATGCTACTATACTGTTACTGTTTTGTTATTGTTATTGTTCCTGTTAATATACTGTTACTGTTCTGTTATTTATTGTTCCTGTTACTTTACTGTTACTGTTCTGTTATTGTCATTGTTCCTGTTACTTACTGTTATTGTTCTGTTATTGTTACTGTTTCTGTTACTATACTGTTACTGTTCTGTTATTGTTCCTGTTACTACACTGTTACTGTTCTGTTATTGTTCCTGTTATTTTACTGTTACTGTTCTGTAATTGTAACTGTTACTGTTCTGTAATTGTAACTGTTCTGTTATTGTTCCTGTTATTTTACTGTTACTGTTCTGTTACTGTTATTGTTCTTGTTACTGTTATGTTAAAGTTAAATTTCTGTTACCGTTCTGTTATTTTTTTGTTTACAATTGTTATTGTTACTTCACTGTTACTGTTCTGTTATTGTTCAAGTTACTATACTGTTATAGTCACTTTGCAGTTACTGTTCTGTTATTGTTGCTGTTCGATACTGTTAGAGTTACTTTATTGTTACCGTTCTGTTATTGTTTTTGTTAACAACTGTTATTGTTACTTTACTCTTACTGTTCTGTTATTGTTCCTGTTACTTTACTGTTTTAGTTACTTTACTGTTATTGTTCCTGTTAATGTACTGTTATTGTTACTTTCCTGTTACTGTTCTGTTATTGTTTCTGTTATTCTACTGCTGTAGTTATGTTACTGTTCTGATATTGTTCCTGTTATTATACTGTTATTGTTATTGTTCTGTTATTGTTCCTGTTACTTTACAGTTACAGTTACTTTACTGTTATTTTTCCTGTTACAATGCTGTTATAGTTACTTTACTGTTACTGTTTTGTTATTTTTCCTGTTACTCTACTTTTACTGTTCTGTTATTGTTCCTTTTACTTCACTGTTATAGTTACTTAACTGTTCTGTTATTTTTCTCCTTAATATACTGTATACTATAGTTACTTTACTTTTACTGTTTGTAATTGTTCCTGTTACTATTATGTTATAGTTACTTTACCGTTACTTTACTGTTACTGTTCTGTTTTTGTTACTGTTACTATACTGATATTGTTACTTTTCTGTTACTGTTCTGTTATTGTTCCTGTTACTTTACTGTTATTGTTACTTTCATGTTACTCTTCTGTTATTGTTCTTGTTACTACACTGTTATTGTTACTTTCCTGTTACTGTTCTGTTATTGTTCCTTTTACTACGTTATAGTTACTTTACTGTTACTGTTCTGTTATTGTTCCTGTTACTGTTGTGCTACACTTACTTTACTGTTCTATTATACCTCAAATTATTAAACAGTTATATAGTTACTTTATTGAGTACTGTTTCTTTAGTGTTACTGTGTCTTACTTTTACTTTCATCGTACTGGTGTTCTACTATAATAATTTGTTTCAGTATCAATTACTTATAACATTTATTCTCTCTTACAGTACCTTTACATTATTTTACTGTTAAGTCACTGGTTACTTTTATGTTTTACATTTTTTTGTTTAACTTAGTGTACTGTTTCATTTTTATTACTGTTATGTTACTTACTAAACTCGTTAACGAGTAATTTATATTTATCTACTACAGGAATCACTATGCTGCAAGAGTACTGATTTCACCTGATTTGAAATATACATGCTGACCATTTTGGAAGAGATTAGAGAAGAGCCCTTGAATGTTAAGCTGTTCTACAAATCTTTGAAACAATCAATTCCTTGCTTTACTGGAACACCAATGGTTGTAAATAGTCTTAAGCTATTGGCAGAGAATTACACAGGTATTTGATTGTTTTATTGCTATAATGCCCCCAAAGGGCAGCATATCAAATCGTACCTTTCTGTCTGTCTAGTCGTCCCCACTTACACAACATTCGTGACCGGATTGTAAAATTATCATGCATTGAAGGGTTTTAAAACAACTTACCACACATGTCTACCACATTATAGTGATGTGTCATGTCTAAGACCCATATGTCTCTACTTCAAAGGCCAAGCCCAAACTTACAGTGTGAAGGCTCACATTCTCATAATTAGAGTTTCTGGAATGTAAATTTGTCATACATGGAAGGATTTTTTTATTAAATAGCCTAACATATATGTCTACCACATCAAGACGATGTGTTGCGTTCAAGATCCATGTCCTTACCGCCAAGGTCAAGGTCTCACTTATAGTTTGAAGGTTCTCATTCTCACAAGAAGAGTCTGGAGATACACTTTTGTGTCCGAACTGTACCTTTGTGATGCATTGAAGGGCATATATATCTACGACATCAAGACAACGTGTCACGTCTAAGGCCCATGTTACTATCTAAAAGGTCAAGGTCAGACTTAGATATTGAAGG